TTCAATCAACAAAAGAGAAATGACCCCGAACATCCCGATGATGGCCGTGTTGATTGCAGATCTCAACCGGAGGGGTTCTCAAATATTTTCAATTGTCTCCCAAAAGTCCATTCCAAATATCTTCCAAGCTCCACCCAAAATTCCAGAAAAATCCAAAAAAAAAAAAACTCCACAAAATCCTAAAAATATTTAAATTTGAAATTCAACCCATTAACCACTTAAAGCAAAATCCGTCCACCCTCCGCAACAGTTTGTCGAGGTGGACAAATTAAAATTTACTCTAGCTCGCAAAGAGCCAAATGCCTAGTCGAAAATATCACTAGGATCCATTCTCAAACAATCTCTTGCCAGTAAGGGCGTGGTACGTGTCCTCTAACCGGCAGTTTCGCCGCCAAATGGCATTGCAGGTAAACGGTTATGACCCGGGTCCCTCTGAACCGAGTGGTTTTGCCGCCAAATGGCACCACAGATAGCGGTTATGGCCAGAGCCAATACGCTCCTTAATGGCGTTAAATCCTTGAGATATGAATCAATAGGATATGATCGATAGGGCACAAAGCCCTCTGTTAGCTAAGGTGGATTCAAATTTGTCCCCTTAGACAAACATCAACCCCGGTCTACAAGGTTCCCTTGGACGAAGCAACCCATGGCTGCCGATAAGGATCCTTCTGTCAGGTTGGGTCGACTACCTCCTCTGACTAAGTAGACTAGGGACCACGATGGCCCGGGACGATGGAACCATGGGATCTTGATCGGGCCCATCATCCATTAATTCCCCCACCATCCGCTTTAAGTAAAGGATGGTGAAATTTCTATCTTAAATATTAAATCTTTTCAAATATCCAAACTTCCAAATACCCAAATCCAAACCCAATTTCCAATTTCCAAACCCTATGCTGCTACTATATGCCAGATAACACGTATTCTTTATACGTATCTGATTGACGACTAGCCTTAATCGAAAGTTCTCTCTCGTGATTGGGAGGGGTAATTAACTATAGGGGCTTGCGCCTATAGGAAACCAGAACTCAGATCATAAAGTCCTCAACAAATGAGGGCGAAATCTCTGTGTAGTGTCTTAACTACAAACCCATCTGCCTTCCAAAATTTACCCCGGAACCTATCAGTTAAAACTCCCTCGCCGAATAAAAGAAAAGCGGCGGGGAGGCCGGGGCCAAATTTTTGGAGCCCACAGGGCTAAAGGAGAGACACTTAGTTTAGGGCAATACTCAGAGGGTGCCTCTGAGGAGTGGACGTAGGTCAAGGTTTGAGAACCACTATAAATCTGATGTATTCTTTCCTTTATTATTTCCGCATTTGATTTTCGCATTGTGTTTTCTCTATGGTGAATCGTGGTTTGTGTTTTTGATCGAATGATTTATTTTATCATACCAATTCACCTTTCTCTTAATTAGCCTTGGGCCAGTTTATAAGGGGCCTAACATCCCTAACGAACTTTCAAGAGCAATGTTTGAACTTTATTAAAATATTATTTTATTATGGTACTAACATTATTTGAATCATATTATCATATCTTCTTTATCTCTTATGGTATTGAATTATTTGAGTTATTTTTTTTTAATGCATGTAGATTTTCACTCTAATTATATCTATAAAGAGATATTATACTGCTTGAGTCACATATAAAGCTAAGAGAGTAAATGATCTCATGGTGAAGACTACGTGTTAGCCTTTAGTAAATTCTTTAAATCTCCTTAACCATAGTTCTTCAAGACCTTGATTTATAAATTATTATTAATAATGGTTGACAATGAGAACGTGGGATACTAAATTATTTTTACATTAGATGGAAGAACATAATATTCAAAGTTAGTTGATTTTGCTCTAATCAATGGGGTGAACTAGAAGAGTAACTAGGAGCTCATATAAAAAAATACATTTTGCACTTATTGGTGAATAAAAATGTAAGTTATATATAAACTATTATATTTTAATTATTTATTTATATCATTAAATATTAAGATAGATTAACTCACAAGCCTTTTAGAAATTATTCTTTACAGGTAGTTGTTTTGTAATAACCTAAAATGCCTTAAAATGAATTTTATTTGAGAATATGAAAATTTTGTGAATTAGAAATAATGCATCTTTTAATGCATCTTTTATAGAAAATGATACTACTAGTACATTGATGAATTAAATAGTAAGATAGATTAACTCACAAGCCTTTTAGAAAATAAATATTAATGCATCTTTTATAGATTTTTTTGTATTTCATGACTTATTGCATCCTATATACAAAATGATACTACTAGTACAT